ATCCATCCCACCTCACAGGTGTGGCATATCAAGATGCTGATTAGACAGCATGATTATTGCACAGGTGTGCCTTAGGCTGGCCACAATAAAAGGCCACTCTGAAACGTGCATTTTTGCTTTAATGGGGGGGGGTCTGGGGGGGTCCGAAAACCAGTCAGTATCTGGTGTGAGGGGTAGGATTAGGGTTAGGGGTAGGGTAATGTTGTGAATCGAGTGGCCTGTGTTCGTCGTCCATAACATACGCCTGCCCATACCATAACCCCACCACCACCATGGGCCACTCAATTCACAACATTACCCTAACCCTACCCCTACCCCTCACACCAGATACTGACTGGTTTTCGGACCCCCCCAATAAAGCAAAAATGCACGTTTCAGAGTGGCCTTTTATTGTGGCCAGCCTAAGGCACACCTGTGCAATAATCATGCTGTCTAATCAGCATCTTGATATGCCACACCTGTGAGGTGGGATGGATTATCTCGGCAAAAGAGAAGTGCTCACTATCACAGATTTTTTCAGATTTGTGAACAATATTTGAGAGAAATGGTTATTTTGCGTATATAGAAAATGTTTTAGATCTTTGAGTTCATCTCATGAAAAATGGGAGCAAAAACAAAAGTGTTGCGTTTATATTTTTGTTCAGTGTAGGTCAGCAATTTCCCATCCTATAGGTTGCTAGATGTATCTAACCCTTTCTCCTGTCTCCCTCTTTCAGCACAAGAACCCCAGGGGGATTCAATGGAGCCTGAAGACCTGCAATGAGACCCTCACCCTGCACCTGAGTCTCAACTCCCAGAGCTTTGCAAGCCTCTCCCTGTTCCTTATTTTTATTAAACAGACGTTAAGCTTCCCAATGGTGTGGTCTTCGTTTTGTGAAAAATATGATTACCTCACATGTTGTTGCTGTTGTTGTCTTTTGTGATAGTTAAATTGCTCCTGCTGACTTGAGCCAGACATTCTTTCCTCCTCTTTGTGTCAGTGGGGAAACCTTACATTTGTACTCCTTTCTCTGAGCGATTGGAGCATCCCCAGGCAGCACAGCAAACCATGGGGGAGACTATATGCCAGGACAACACGGAGGAAAAGGCAGACAAACTGCATGCATGCTATTCAATGTTTATTGAATTCCATGTATTTGCAATGGATGTTCCTAAAACAACACATTTAACATCATCATCATAATCAGGGGTAGACATTAAGGGTAAAAAGCCACTGGCCCTCCGGGCCGGTGGAATTGTATTATCACTGGCCCCACCATTGTAACCACTGGCCCGGAGCATTCGTCCAAAAAAAATCGACTAATAATGAAGAAAATTAACACATTTGTTGCAATAGTAATTTATGCACTAACTACATTACTACTTGTACTAGAACATTTGAACAATCAGTTCTTCCTCATTTTCCTCAATTGTTTATATTTGGTTTATTAAAATAATGATATTGTGGTCATTGTTAAAAAATGTCTGCTATTATTATGAGTATTATTATTTGTATAATGCACTTTCTGCCTTCCTGTCATTAGGAGTTAGAAATGTAATTGATTAGATTAGAACCTTCATTATCCTAAACTGCTTGGACATTTCCATACAGCCAATACCTTTATATTGTCTACTCTTCACTTACTTGTCAGCATAGGTCGGCATTGATGTACAGAGCCGACAGAAGACCTTGTTTAAATTGGCATCATATTGAGAGGTGCAGCCAGTGATGCGTCCTAAAACCAGGAAGTAAGCTGCTGGTTCCCTCGACAGAAAGCAATGGGATTTCTCCACAGGGTTTTGGAAAATAGCTAGAAATAAGGTCTGTGGAAAACGAACCTGTTTGATAAATGCACGTTTTGTTCAGCCGGATAATCTCCACATGTCTACCCTACTTTTATAATTTTCGAATCATAAATCTAATCGATAGATTATAAAAGGGTTTTAGGAAGCGTTACTGCACCACTAGAAGCCAACTCCATCGATCAAGCTCACTCTCCTTTAACTCCTCCGGTGACTTTCTTTTATTTGAAGATTGTTTTTTACACGGCGCTTGGCCGGTTACCGCTGGTATTAAAAACATTTTGGCGAATGGTTAGGTGGCGCGATAGTCTGTAGTGAAGGAGTGCGCTCCCGCTCACGGGAGCCTGCTCGCGCTGCGCTCTGCAGCAAACAGCCGTTTTCTTTTCACCCAACAACGACAAGCGACTCACGAAACGCTAATAAATTATACGAAACAATTTAACAAAATTGCTAGTCAAAATACCAATACCACAGGACCATTTTTTTTTTAAATAATATTTTTAGTGGCCCGAGTGGGCAAGTGGAAAGTACGTTATGCTGGCCCGGGGTGTCTTAATAGTGCTTCCGGGCCAGCGGGCCATTTATAATGTCGAGCCCTGATAATCATGCTGCTGCTGCTAGTCCTTTGATAGTCACCTGTCCTTTCTGAAAGCCATAAAGAGGACATTAGTCATTTAGATAACTTGTGTCCTCAATTACCATGGGATTACTGAAACTACTATGAATTAGTAGAAAAATAGAACATGGTAGAATTGAATCTAATCTGAATTGTAAAGCATTACTTTAGATCCCCTCCCTCTAAATATATCAATAAACATTAGAAAGTGATGCTCCTGACTACCATACAAGTTTAAGAAGATAATATTGGTTTTAAAGAATTCAAAGCTATAAATAAACAGCAACAGGCTCTTTAACCAAGGCACTGTTAGCCTAACATGTAAACTAGTTGTTCACACTAATCCTAATATTATCACTTAATATTAGCTAATTCTATTTTATTTTTAAAAACATATTGATGTAAATACATACACATATCAATTTGTTGTATAAATATTGCAAATCAAAACCTTTATTCACTATTAATTACCAAAAATCGTAGTTCTATCTCCTGTTATCAATGCATTCACATTGCACACCAACTTCCGGGGAACGATCCTTTTCCAATATAGTGCTCCCTTAATATTCTGAGACTTTCTCGGCCCTTGTCCTTCGTGTCTCTGAGGCGTCAAAAGTTGAACATTGCTCAACTTTTGAAGCCAGCAACGCTCCACGTCACTTCCCAAAATGCAGTTTGGCTAAAAGTGACATCACCCCATTCAAAGTGAATGGGCAGAAGCGTTGGAAGCTTCAACGCACGCCGCTGTGTGGACGGGCCGTTACTCACAATAGGCGTCAGCATTGAGCTTGTCGTCTTGAGCCCTCAGTGCTGCGGTCAGCTCTCCAGCGGGTGCTCGAAGGATGGTCTCCTTCAATTCCACTCTGTGCATGCAACACAGCATCCTCTCTTCCCAGAGCTCATACTCTTCTGCTTTCCCGTCAAACGTGGGCCACTTGCTCTTCCTCGTGGTTCCATTCGCCATGGCTTTTGCGTTTGTAGTTTCAGTAGCTTAGCTTAGGTCCTTGTTAGCTTAGCTTTAGCTTCCCTCGGTTCTCCCGATGCTAAACTAGCTTAACACGTGGCTAACTAGCTACTCCTATGCTAACCGTGCTAACAGGCAATCTTCTCGCCTTGTTATCGCACGTGCGCTTCGAACTGTACAATAATTAATCGCATCTGGGCCCATATCCTGTTAGCAGATTTAGACTTATACCTTTTGTCTCCTGCAGCAGAAAGGTGAATAATCTCAGCAGTTCAAGTTTAGCCATTCATCACGCCGTTTTATTATAGGCACACATCTCAAGAGGCTTGAGGACAGAGAGAGAAGGGGCGTGACTTCCAACGGTCTTATACCCCGGGTAGTGACATCACAATCATGTGGTACAGCCCTAACCAATGAACACAGTTAGTAGTCGCAGCTACTTACATAAACAATATACGGTACACAGTAATACATGGAGTCATACACTATACATGTCTGTATGTTATATCTCAACAATCATCCTCTGAAGTTAATGAGTTACATGCAATAATGGTGTCTGTTGGATCAGACTTGAGGCCTGAATCCAGAGGATTAAACTGAACAAGGGCCACTAAATGCAAACAAACAACAACATATGCAGGCTTTCTTATTGGTCACAAGTGTAATTCCCTCGAAGCACAGGCAGACACAAGTGGCTTTCTCATTACGGGTTTATTCCTCCGAATCCACCGTGAAAACTACACAAACAAACAGTATAAATGACAAACATAGTTTCGTGTTAGACACACAATAACATGCACAGCATGTGAGATAACTAGCAAGGTAATAAACATAAAAGTGATACAAGCATAACAACATACCTCGTTGGGCTGCATGCTCTGTAAACAGAGGGAAGTATTCTTCAGTTCTCTTCACAACTTATATGTATAAGAATACAAAACTAACGGAGCTGTAAGTATCCGTGCATCTTACTCTGAGGGTGCTTCTCATTTCTCGCTCTCTAACTCACGCGAGAACAGCATAACGAGACGTGAGCTTGGACTTCAAAATAAAATACTAAATATTGCACGCATGAAACATTACAACAATAATAGTTAGTACACTTAGAAAATACACATTACAGTTAAATTATGAACATGTAAAGGCTGCACTTACACACAAGGCTACAGTATAGCTGGTACTCAGAACCCTAGGTCATGTCCTCTTATTTTGTCTCAAGTGTTGGCGGTCGTAGCAATATAAAAATAATATTAATCATCATCATCATTATTTAAGACACAATTTATTCGAAATTGAAAATATATATTTGGAATATATTTAGATTTTTTGAACTAAGTTCAAATCAGCTGATAATCTTTCATTAACACATTTTTGTGTCATTGGGTCATTTTCTTATTTTTTAGCAACTTAGTGCTGTCCTATAATTGTTGTCTATAATTATGTTCATTTTATGTACCTAAATGTGTATAATTTTCACTTAATTTGTTTGCCTTGGGTTAGGCCCTGTACATTCTATGCGTAAAATGTGCTTAAATGTGTGACACAGCCCCAGGCCAGCAGAGGGGCCACGGCACCCTGCAGATCCTCCTCTCGGTTTCACTTCAGCTCAAACATTTGATTGTAGTTTGGAAGGGGGCGGAGACCTTCCTGTCCCCTTCAACCAATACGCGGAACTTGTCAGTAATGCAAAGTGTGTGGCAGAAGTGTCGGCTGATAAACTGGCTGTCAATTAGCGGGGAACTTTCACCGGTGAGCAGCTACACACAGCACAAGGTGACTAAATTAGCAGTTTGTGTTTATTTTGTGGGTAAATCCAATTGAATGCAGTTTCCTCATGTTTGTTGACATTAATTAAACCTATTTGATACGTTCGGTGGTGGTTCATGGTGTGGTCGCTGCTTAATTAATGAGTTTAGCTAAATGTGACCTTTTGCCTTTTTCAGTTGTTGAGAAGATAAACGATGGAGTGGCGCCAGCAGACCAGTGTCAGCTGTGCAGACGCCTTCAAAGAGGCTCAACGCTGGATTCAGGTACATGCTTCACTTTCATCTGTGTATTCATTTGGTATGTTTGCTCATTCACTTATCCCTATGCAAACAACCATGCAGATTTGTCCTGTCAGCAGTTAAACCCCAACAAGACAGGAAATGTTTTACAAATTTAAATGGCAGACGTTTCCACCTAAACAGATTGTTTGTATCATAAGTAGCCTACTTAAACTCTCTAGGACAGTTGATGGCTGGATTCCTGTTTAAAACTGCATTTACAAACATATCTTTGAGTTCAAATGCAAAATAGGCCATACCTTGATAAGACTCAGGTAAGAGTTTGCCTCCTGACATAGAAAGCCCTATGAGACAATCTTCTAAAAATGTATTTGACTAGACTCTAGTCAAATCAATTTTTATATGTGCAACCACTCTATGAGTCCTCTAGTCACTAGAGGACTCATAGAGCCTCAGGAAAATGCACATGGAAGGCATGCAAATAATTTATTTATCGATTTTTTTATTTTAAAGAAAAGCAATACACTGTGAGGTTTGTTATTCAGTGTGTCCACTGATATGTGGAGTATGCAGGTTTCTTCATGCACACATTTTGAAGGATGTGGTTTGTATAGCAATGCATTTACTTTCTTGCTATATGTTGCTCATGTCCAAACATTGTTCAAGTTGTTATCTTTAAATCATAAACAATACATTCAACTTGTCAACTGTGGGCACTCAATGTTGACCAACTCTAAATGGGACCATTGATGTCAGTTGTGTCTGAGTGGATCATTATGAGAATTCTGTCCAGAGCCATTTTGGCAGTAAGCCCATGCCAATTTTACCCCTTCTATTTGTGTGTGTGTGTGTGTGTTTGGATAGTAAAGCATGCTGTTTTTAGCAAAATGTTCCTGTAAATGGTGTCATATACTCTCCCTTGTGCCAAACCAATTGGTAAGGTGTTCGCAGTAGCACTGATATTCTGAATGCAGGAGAATAAGCTTCCATGTATTCAAGTGTCCATAAATTATAACTGTTATCATTCAACTCTGTAACACAGTCCAATTTATAATCAGTCCAATTTCTCAACCAGACAAATGTATCTCTAACTGCAATCTTCCTTTAAATGACCTCCGACTGCAACATTGAAAATATTTATAGCAAACTATTTGCTAAATTAAACGCTTTGTCTTTAAAAAATATCCTAATAGGGAAAATATTCTGTAATAATAGGAGCCCTACTGTAGGGCCCATCCTCAAATGTATTTTTTATCAGATCAAAAGTCCAATATCCAAATATTCAGTTTACTTTCTTGTAAGACACAGAAGAACGTCTATAGACGTCATGTCAGAACTACAGATCACATTGATTCAGTACTGAAGCCTGTATTTTAATCTCGGTGTTTGACCCTTTTTGGATTTTAGAATTCCCTTTTTCAAAAGATGAATCTTCAATTCACACCAAAACTGAAAACAATTTAAATCTGTGGATTCACAGGGACAGTTGTTTATTGGAATGACCAATTAAAAGTGTTTGTGCCGTAGAACTGACCAAAGCCTGACCACATTATTGTGTTTTTATGGTGTTAACCTGGGACTGCATTGTCTGTTTCCTCTGAGAATCCTGCGCTCCGTGCCGCTGCCCAGTTCTACTGGAAATGAATTGTTATTGTGGATTCCTGGGGGGACTAATTAGTGAGAAGAATAACCTTTTGGGGCCCTCTGTTAGTTATGTAGCCGAACCTTAATAGCCCCATTTTTATGTCCTCATTACAAAGCTCCCTAGGCCTTGTGCCTGCTTCTGCCATGTAAAATCATTTAGGTTTTGTTGTATTATTTGTTTTGATCAAAAAACTGTAGAAATGCTTGTCCACATACATTATTTTAATAGCCTTAATAGCTGTTTTTCTCTGTAGATATTTTGCGATTACTGCGATGACCTGTTTGCTGGATGAATATTCAGCTGAATCTTAACAGTATCTCACTTAATTTACTTATTCTTTCTTTTTCAGAAACTGGGAAATGCCTGCGCTTTGCACTTAATAATTCCTTTCAACCAGGACCTTGTTCTCCTCAATTCAACCAAAGTTGTTTTGTTTTTTTCACAACAAGCCACTAAACAGTGCATTTAAGCAGGAGTTCATAAAAGGCAAACTGTTTCAATTAAAGTACTTATACATTTCAAAACTGCTTTATACTATGTGTACACCTTGTGTTAATACTAACGCAGTTTTGTGAAGCTAAAGGGACATTTATATTCAAAAACAAATGTTGCACAAACCACTATATTATGCTTTAGTAGAACATGTGTTGATGTGAATGGTGTTTCTCATTTGGTTTGCATTAACGGACCATACACTCTAATATTAATGCAAGTTAATGATGAAAGTTAATGCATTTTACTCATGCTGATGTTTTTTAGGAAGTCACTGGAAAATTGTTTGGTTGCAATGACTTCCGTGCTGCCTTAGAGAACGGAGTCCTGCTTTGCGAGTGAGTAATGATGCACAAAACTTTTACAATGTCATATTTAAAAAAATGTAGGATACAATTTGAGTTTCATATTCATAAAAATGTTCTCTGTAGCTTATTTTGTGCAATGGAACCCAGGTGATACAATTTCATCCCAATTATCTTAAAAAAAAGTTAAGTATATGTGAGCTCTTCCTGTTTTTAATTTGAGTTTTTCCTGGCAGCTTGATTAACCGGTTGAAACCCGGCATCATTAAGAGAGTAAACAGGCTTTCTACTCCCATTGCTGGTCTGGTGAGTATTACATCTTACAGTTATGACCATGTCTCTGTGTGTGCGTGTAAAGGTAGCCTGGTGGTGTGGTGAATGCAGCCTTTACTGTGAAAAGAAGACGACACCTTAGCCAGGAAGTTTTGACGCATTGTGGTTTCCTGTTTAATGCAGCGAGAGACACAGTTGCCACAGTGTGAATGATCCTGAAACAGTATATGTAAAGTTTTTGTTTATTCAGCATAAATAAAAATGCAGATTTTATTTTGGCTTCAGGCTGTTTGCAAAGACTTAGTATAATTGCCTAAACTGCTCAAAGCAAGGGCAGGAAAAGATCAATTGCAACCTCCCATCAGGGGCCAATAAACAGACAGAGCCTGGTGGAGGTGAGACGCACAGAGAGCAGGGAGTCTGCAGTTACTTTACTTTGACAATCTAAAGGACCATAATGGGGATTTTGAATGTCTTAGACCAGGAACCATACTTCAAATATATTTTTCATTACAGCAAGTAGCAATTTAAATATGTACTTATTATACTGCTTGCTGAACTTTGAACCCCTTCATTGAGATTTGTCATTGTCAGAGTATGTCCACAGCCACTTTCTGTATGTCACTATGATTAGTTTTGAAACTGATTAAGAGGAAATGTTACAATAAATGTAGGCTCTCTAAATAAGATGAGGAGGCTTAGTTAGATCACATTTTGGCAGATTGGCAGCCTCTAGTGGCAAGTGGACAAACTGCAATTCAAACGTGTATTTTACTGTTATCAATTATTGATAACACTAATAATCTAGCCCTACTGGTAATTAGGGGTGTAACGGTTCACAAACATTTCTGTTCGGTACGTACCTCGGTTTTTTGGTCACGGTTCGGTTCGGTACGTTTTCGGTACAGCAGAATTTTTTTTCACAAAACAAAACATATATATATATATATTTTTTTATTATTATTAAACTGTGAATAATGTATTCACTCAAATAAATACAAAATATAATAAAATAAACATTAAGGTGCAGCATTTCGATGAACTGAAATAATCTGTATTTGAACTTTACTGTAGGCTACTAGTACTCACAAAACATAAACTATTAGTTTTGGGTTTTTTATTTTTTATTAAACTGTGAATCTTCACTCAAAAAAATACAAAATAAAATAACATTAAGGTGCAGCTTTTCGATGAACTGAAATAATCTGTATTTGAACTGTACTGTACTAGTTCCTAAGCAGCCAGCTTGACATTAGGACTTGCTTGTCATTGTATTTTCATGTTTTTTTAAAGAAAGATGAATTTGTCCACATTGCTTGCCGAAAGGGCAGATCTGCTGGCACTAACAATGTCTCCTGCTGTGGAGAATACCCTCTCGCTAGGGACAGTGGCAGCAGATACAGCCAGGTAGCGCTTTGCTAACATGGCAACATTAGGATATTTGGCGTTTGTAATAGCTTTGGCTCGGTCTGAACTCTCTGCGAGTGGTGGAGGCTTAAATGCTAGTGGGAGTTGGGTTTGCACTTCAGTCTTTTTTCTTTTGGTACCGGTGATATTCACGTTCGGGTGATGCCTTTTCAAGAGTGTGCAAGTTTGATGTATTGCCAGCCGCGTAACCAATTTTAGTTGAACAATGCCGACAAACAGCTTTGGTTCGGTCCACCTGTCTTTGTTCTTCATCCTTGTACGTAACTGCGAAACCAAAATGTTCCCAAACCGGAGACTTCAATGATGCTGGAGGATTTTCGAGCTCAACTTTATCTGCGTTCGCCATTAATTTTCGACAGTTCCTCAAATTACTGACTAAATTTGAACGCATCCCTCTGACCAGCTCTCATAGTATGCCTCTCATCCAATGAAATGACTTGCTCGCTCTATGACACGTTGAACCCAATGTGAGCAAATTACTCTGAATGCTGCGACGCAGCACCTGAGATTACTTCCAAAAAGTTGTTCACGTTCTCAATTTTTTACGTCTAACGTTATATTCGTTCGGTACACTTCGGTACACACCTGTACCGAACCGAAGGGCCCGTACCGAATAATTTCGGTACGGGTACGTGTACCGTTACACCCCTACTGGTAATGCATTTTAGAACAGGCGTTGTTTTAAAACTCTTAATTATTTAAGTTGTCAAAACCAATCTTGTAATGTTGCTGGTGTTAGCTTTAAACAAGCCTCTTTTTCTCTTCATGCTCTCATTTGGCTGTCTCTCTGCTGTTAATCTCCAGGATAATGTGAATGTCTTCCTGAAAGCCTGTGGGAAACTTGGACTGAATGTGTCTCAGCTGTTTCATCCCGGAGACCTGCAGGACCTGTCCTCTCGTGCAACACTCAGGTACATTGAGTTCCATGTCATGAGTGCAACTGCTTAAGCTGCAGGTGCTCATGACAGCACAGAGAAGCACACCTTTTACTTCTAAAGGTCAACTCACATGCAAATATTACCATGTTGTCTTGATCTAATGTTTTCTGTACAGGCAGTGTTAGGCACATTTAACACTGTGGTATTATTACTGCAATAACTGTGCTGAAATAAGGGTTTATCGTTTGTCTCACAGCTGCTGCTTTGAATGTCTAAAGGTACAAGCTTTGCCTGATGACAAGCTGCTGCTTTATTCCAGCTGATAGCGTGTATAAATTCTGATAAGTAGCTGATTGGTAGAGCATTGCAAATGAGAAGGCTTGCCATGTCATTGTAATGTTTTCCCCCCCAACAGCTCTCTAGAGTATCTTGTTTCGAGAACAAGTGACACAACTGAATCTTCTGTCATACCAGTAATTGCAGGATCATCATGTATTTTTTTCTATTCATTTTAGGCAGAATGAAACCAATAGAAGACTAAAAAATGTGAGTTTGACCAGGATTACTTTTATTCCTCCGTTTAAATGTTTTTTTATATTATTTATCATCATTCATGTATCCCCCCCACTCCCTCTCTTGACCAATGAGTTTAAAAACCTTAAAAGCAACTCTGTCTTGTTCAATTGTAATTAACCCCTTACATTACTACTGAATATAACTGTATGGGTGATAGTCAGCAGTTCAAATCCATTCTTCCACACAGTTACAGTAGCACCATCCAGCTCCTGACGCTAACACCCATGCAGCATGAAGACTCAGATTAATGATGATCATGGGAACTGTTTTACTAATAGAGTTTGGGGCTGATCACAAACATCTGGCAATAAACCCCCAAAAAGACTGTGCCAAAGTATAGATTTATTTTTTATCTCGGTCTTAATTTGTACAAGTCTCTGTGAACTGCAACAATAGTGAGTTTGTTTTGTGTGTGTGTGAAGAACATGTGAGTACTGTATGTTCACGCTTGTGTGCACTGCTGGTATTTGACATGTTTCAAAGCTTATGAAGTTGTTTGGTTATGTGGGAAGCCTCATTTAAATCGCACAATAGCTGACAACTTGGACCCAGTAATGAGGCTGTTTGTCAGAGCACTCTTTCTCCAAAATAGTTGTAGCATTTTTCTTTGAATGAACTAATTAAGGTCAATTTGCATCCATTGAAGTCCGCACTTTTCATGCAGATCTCCAACCACATACGCATAAATAATTTAAGAGTTATTCGTACAGTACATTTTAAAGTTGCAAAACAGAGCTGTTCCTCACTGTTTTCCCAGGGAGCAGTGATGCAATGTGGAATAATGAGGATACGTACTGCTGCACTCTAAACATTCAAATTGAGTGACAACTGCTTTCTTTATTTGTAGGGATGGTTTATAAACATGTTTATCTTAACGGTGAAGATTTATTACTCTTAATCTCATTATCATGTTCTAGGATAGTGTCTGCAAATGCCATAATGCTCAACATTGATGAGCGTTAGAGCGAACTAACAGGATATGATGAGAGATTTAAGGGTTCATAAATAATTTACGACGAATAGAATCATACGCGGCACATGGCACCATTAGATAAGATTAATATATGTTGACTTGTTGTGTGCAGTGTAATGTTTTCCTTGGCATTGGGTAGGTGGCAAGCTATTAAATAATAATGATCGGGTCCTGTCCATGTGCTTCATACTTGTTTACTCTCAGGTTGTACAGATGAGGATACACTGAAACCAATTTTAGGCTAAAATGGCCAACAGAATAAATATTGGATAAACTGCATATTACAGTTTGTTTCTGTACATAATGTGTGCTTAAAACCTCAACACTTTATTGAGACTTGACAACAATGGCTGGAACTGAAAGATTATGTTTGTATAATGTGGTATCCAAACAAAAAAATCTAATATCACTCTGAATTATCATCTTTTCCATCTGAGCATTGTGCTATGAAATATTTATTCAAACCTCTCAAGTCCCCAGATTTATTCAATCTGCTGACTGCTATATATTATGACTTTGTTGCGATACAGATAGAGAAATGATGTTGCATAGTGTTGTGGATAATCCCTTTGCAGCACTAGCTGCTGCTCTGCCAGTCCGTCAAACAAAATATATCTAGCCTCAAGGCAAATGACAAAATGTGTCGACAACCCTTTGCTTTCTGAAACAATAATAATAATAATAAAACATATTTTGCCAGGCCAGTACGCAATGTATTTTCTAATTGGGTCAGGTAGGACTTCAACAGCATCTTGTTTCAAGAATAAGGTTTTTTAATTTCTCTTGAAGGCAACATGCCTGATCAGTATTTCCTTTGGCTAATGGGGGCACTTGTAGGTGCTTACATTTAGGAGGACAAAAACACAAATTGATTGTACTTTTGGCAGATTAAATTGACAAGTTAACAGTATATTTAGCAATGGATGAAACAAGGCCCTTGAAATGGCATTGCTGATCAGTCGGTCCACCACTTTGGTCCAGAAATATCAAAAACTCTATTTGATGGATTGACAGGACATTTGGAACAGACAAATTTAAAACACTAGTACCGTTTTTGTTTGTTGGCTTAAATGCTTATTGGTCAAAAATGTAAGTCTCCATATACAGTGGGGCAAAAAGGTATTTAGACAGCCACCAATTGTGCAAGTTCTCCCACTTAAAAAGATGAGAGGCCTGGAATTTTCATCCTAGGTACACTTCAACTATGAGAGACAGAATGGGGGGAAAGAATCCTGGAAATCACATAATAGGATTTTTAATGAATGAATTGGTAAATTCCTCGGTAAAATAAGTATTTGGTCACCTACAAACAAACAAGATTTCTGGCTCTCACAGACCTGTAACTTCTTCTTTAAGAGCCTCCTCTGTCCTCCACTCGTTAACTGTATTAATGGCACCTGTTTGAACTCGTTATCAGTATAAAAGACACCTGTCCACAACCTCAAACAGTCACACTCCAAACTCCACTATGGCCAAGACCAAAGAGCTGTCAAAGGACACCAGAAACAAAATTGTAGACCTGCACCAGGCTGGGAAGACTGAATCTGCAATAGGTAAGCAGCTTGGTGTGAAGAAATCAACTGTGGGAGTAATTATTAGAAAATGGAAGACATACAAGACCAATGATAATCTCCCTCGATCTGGAGCTCCACGCAAGATCTCACCCCGTGGAGTCAAAATGATCACAAGAAAGATGAGCAAAAATCCCAGAACCACACGGGGGGACCTAGTCAATGACAGCTGGGACCAAAGTAACAAAGGCTACCATCAGTAACACACTACGCCGCCAGGGACTCAAATCCTGCAGTGCCAGACGTGTCCCCCTGCTTAAGCCAGTACATGTCCAGGCCCGTCTGAAGTTTGCTAGAGCATTTAGATGATCCAGAAGAGGATTGGGAGAATGTCATATGGTCAGATGAAACCAAAATAGAACTTTTTGGTAAAAACTCAACTAGACGTGTTTGGAGGAGAAAGAATGCTGAGTAGCATCCAAAGAACACCATACCTACTGTGAAACATGGGGGTGGAAACATCATGCTTTGGGGCTGTTTTTATGCAAAGGGACCAGGACGACTGATCCGTGTAAAGGAAAGAATGAATGGGGCCATGTATTGTGAGATTTTGAGTGACAACCTCCTTCCATCAGCAAGGGCATTGAAGATGAAACGTGGCGGGGTCTTTCAGCATGACAATGATCCCAAACACACCGCTCGGGCAACGAAGGAGTGGTTTCGTAAGAAGCATTTCAAGGTCCTGGAGTGGCCTAGCCAGTCTCCAGATCTCAACCCCATAGACAATCTTTGGAGGGAGTTGAAAGTCCGTGTTGCCCAGCGACAGCCCCAAAACATCACTGCTCTAGAGGAGATCTGCATGGAGGAATGGGCCAAAATACCCGCAACAGTGTGTGAAAACCTTGTGAAGACTTACAGAAAACGTTTGACCTCTGTCATTGCCAACAAAGGGTATATAACAGTATTGAGATGAACTTTTGTTATTGACCAAATAATTTAATGTGATTTTCTGGATTTTTATTTTAATTTTAATTTTTTTTTCTCATTTTGTCTCTCATAGTTGAGGTATACCTAGGATGAAAATTACAGGCCTCTCATCTTTTTAAGTGGGAGAACTTGCACAATTGGTGGCTGACTAAATACTTTTTTGCCCCACTGTATGTAAAAACCAAAACTTCATATTGGGTCTTAGCCACTACTGGATAGGGTTAAACGAGTCAGGACTTCACGTTCCTTCTTTAAATGTTGGAGAAGATGACTTGGTTTGGTCGCTGGTGTGTCTTTATCCACTCTTTCACATTTCTTTCATTTCTGTCTTTCTCAGGTTCTCGTCACAATCTACTGGTTGGGTCGCAAGGCTCACCAGGACTCCTTCTACAGCGGTCCTCAGCTCAACGTCAAGGCTTTTGAAGGGCTGCTAGGATTAGCCTTGTCCAAGGTGAGCTGCTCATCTAAGCTTTAAACACCGTTCTAGTGTCTTATCTATATTTGTCATTATCAACATTAACACTGCCTTCTAAACCCAGGCTCTAGACGAGGGCAGTCATTCGTTTGTGAAGGAGAGCTGGCACCTGGAGAGGGAGGAGATTCGACGCATGGGACCGCACTATAAGACTCAGATTTCTTTGGACAGCTTCGACTCTCTGGATTCTCGAGTCCTCCACCAAAACAATGAAGGTATGTTTACCAATGATTTCTCGATCAAACCCCCCCCCCACCTCCAACCAGTGACTTGTTTATGCCACACCAACTGAAGTGTGTTGTGGTTTGGGTTGGCTGAAGGGTGCAAAACATTAACTTTTTTTGTCTACTGGCCAAATGCCTACTTGATAACCGTTCTTTTTGTTTTGTTGATGAATGATTTAAAATCTACTAGCCATTTTTATATCACCACCATTCGGCTGTTATATGATGCTAATTGTTTGCACTGCTGGCAGTAAAAGACAATTACTGTGTAGTGTATCTGCTGCAATTTGCTGTAATCACTTGACAATAAAACACTGCAGTCTTTTTGCTTCAAACTTTATTTTGATGGAGTTTTTTGTTCTACTGGCTCTTTTTCTTTGTGTAAGCTTACCCTGCTAAACAAATGGCTGCTGCAACTTTGGCTAGAGGGAAAGACATCAACTTATTTTCATCCACTAAAATGATCTACCTTCTACTGTCAGTCTACAAATGGACATGCCAGAACAGAAATATATCTATCAAGAAATATAAATATTCCCAAATGTAGCTACTTGGATAAACAACATTCTGATCTTCTTACTCAATATCTAATTTGTCTCATGCGCTCTCCTTGGCCGCTCTGTATGCACGTCAGTGATAGATTGTTGCAAGTTCCACACTGTGGTGATAGAAGTGTTTGTGATGGGAGAGGGCAAAAATATTTATGCTGTGCTAAGACTCAGTCACCCACTAAAGGTTCTTCTGTTATGTTCTGATATCCAAACTCACTCTTTCGGCTCAGTGAGTTTTCTTCTTAGATGATTTGAGCTTGAGTTATCGGTTCTCCAGGCTTTGAATTTTATCTGTTGCTCAATTTCCACTTGTTTCAAGGTTGGGGAAGTGACGCAGAAGCTGAGGAGGTGTTCAAGATGGAGACCACACAGCCCTCCACCCAGCAAAACAAAGGTTATATCCCACATCCACTCCTACGGAGAAAACAAGGACGGGAGGAGAGTGGAAGGGGCTGCGCAGGTCCAATTGCCAGGTACTGCAAATGTGTCTGCTTCTATACAGAGAGACTTCATTTAGTGCCACTAACTCACTAATCCAGCTGCAATTATATATTTTTTAACATTCTCTTCCTCATTAGATCTTTAAATGTGTGATTGGTTTTAACACTTGCATATGTCCCTCCTTTACTTGTAATTTCCACTTGAACATATGGTTTAACTTCCAATTCAACAGCAACAAATTACTGAGGAAACTGTTGTCTTTATAATCTCTCAAAATATGCTGTGATAAGATAACTTTCTTCAACACTATCATTGCATCATGATATGGATTGTTCTTGGTTTAAACTCATTTTGGAACAAAAATGTCAAGGTTGTCAAATCAGTTGGGGATTAATCTGCTCTAAAACTATTTGGTGTTTCTTGTGTTTTTCTTTCTTTGCACTAAGCCCTAAAGCACAACCAACACGTATTCATGAACATCTCTAGAAAAAGTCACATTTCACAAAACATACACAAGGTGATCATTATTTTCATTGTATTTAAAGCTTGTATTAATACTTTTCCTGATAAAAACTACTCTGTCAAACTTAAGTTTTTTATTTTACAACTTCCCAGCTTATTGTTTACGTTTTCAAAGTAAAACAAATTTGGCTAGTTACTGACATTTTTATTTGGACTCTTGGGAATATGTTTGAGCTTGTGAATGTTGTCAGTTTAAAAAAAAAGAAGAAAACTATAGGCACTGACAGTCTTCAGAAATTCCGAAATACAGTAGACGACAAAGCAGGCCAAAGCGTTTCCCGTGCCCTGCTTGGCTCAGTAATTACTTTATCAAACTACCTACCCTCCAACGCTTGAAAATCGAAAAGTATTGCGTAACTCTAACCTTGTCCTCAAAAGACTAAGTTTGCCTCAATACAATAATCTTCAACTAAGCTTCTGCTATTACTACTTGTGCGCTGCTTGGAGATTCTCTGATACTTGGTGTTACTATTTTATCCAAAGTGATTATAAACATAGATGTGGGTGTAACACTCTTTGCTGCAGCATTGAAGAAGACCCTCTCTCTCCTCAACCCCACCTCACTACATGTCCTCCAATAAGCGCCATTGATGAAGAGCTTTTCTTGAGCGCTCTGTGTGAGGAAGACTCCGAGGACGATTATGCTGACGCAGATCCTGTCCTGGACGATTTGTATTTCCGGCGAGTGCAGCAGACCCTTCATCAGACATCTAACAACCCCAACTATGACCGCTACTTACCCAAAATTTGGACTCCAGAAGAGGAGACTCGTGTGCGTACAATCTTCCTGGGCTCCCAGAGAAGACCTTGGTACCGTAAAATGCCAGGCTTAAGGTCTGTTGGCTGGTTTTACTGCTCTGTGATGCTGGGCTGTTCTCAGTGTTAAAGCTTTCGAAGGTTCACATTTGATTTACTAATACAAGGCAACGCTGAACCTGCAGTTTTCCGTTGCTGTTGGCTTTTATATTTACGAAATGTGATGCTTTACTTAAGAAGAAAGTATTAATGGTACCTTTTTTTTTAAATAATCAAAAAAAGGTTAATGCCATTGCTCATATATGACTTATTGTACTTCCTTCAGGGAAATCTAACTTAAAACCTTTTCTATAGTGCCAGAATAACCTGCTGGGTGACTTAATGGCATGTGGTGCAATGTTGATTATTGTATTCAGCTATAGGGTTTGATAGCAGTTACTTAATCCAGCTTAACTATACCAGCAAACTAGGTTTTAGTTTGCCGTTGGAATAGCTAGCACTACTGTGCGAGAAACAAAAATGACATAAGCTAAATCTGCAAAATCAAACGCCCTGCAAATTTATATCCAATTTCTTCCTCTTAGAAAACTTTATTTTTTAAGTTTGCTGTAATGTGTTTATATAGGATGTGGTAATTTCATTCATCTTCTATTCCCTTTCTCTGACTAGCTGTAACGCTTTGGGTTCTTTGAGGAAGTGACTTCATTTCCTGGCTTGTGGCATCTGTCACTGTAGAAAACGTCTCTGCCAACTCTCAAGCCTCAAAACCTCCGGGATACTCTCTGCCAGGCCTGAACATTCATCCTGAAGATCCACAGCTAATGCGCACACACACATTCTGCACAACCTATTGACTTTGAGCACTAACACACTATTCTACTTGTTCTCTCAGCATGTACCGAAGTGCACCTGTTACTCTTACATTTGCAAATCTTTAATCCATCAGCACACTACTTAATTTTCATATGCAAATGTAACCCTGTTTATCAAAGATTGTATCAGGGAAAATTAAATGTGTGCTTTGAATTTGAACTGATTGTTTTCCTAACTGCTGCACTGTGTATAGCATGGCATTTACTTTGGCACCTTATTCCTGGAGCTGACAATGTGAGGACGTTTTAACAGCATCATGCTGAGTGACTCATTAGTGCATAATTGTGAAACACATGACTCATGTGTTGTGTCATACTTTGATAGCCATAACAGAATCATGTCATTCAAAACATATTTTGTGCCAGAGCTAATGTTTTCCAGTTTACTTTCAGTGTGAATATGGCTGTGGAACGGATACAAAAGTAGGTCAATAAACTGACTAAAATATGTTTGCATTAAACTCACTCTTTCTGCCAAGATGTTCTGTGTTTAGAAGGTTTGTATTATGTCTCTGGCATTAAAGCCATATGTGTTGTATCTGTCATCAAACATTTGCTTTTTTTGTCTTCAAGTACACTTCTCATGCCTTCTCTCTATATACATGTATTTTATGTTTAGTATGGCCCGCCTGGCCTTCATCGTACTATGTTGTTGTGTTGCCTTTTGTCACACCAGGTGCATTAGATGCAAAATGCCCTTCATCAGTCTTCATGTGTGTTTCTTTGGTTCTGTAGAGCATATCAAATCCAGGTCAGACCTGAGAGACCAGTTCAGGTCAACCCTGGTTGGATTTGGTGAGTCCTAAAGCTTTGGGCAAAGGTTGTCTGAGACTGCTCCCAACATATCTGCCTTTGCTGCTGCTTCATCTGGTTGTTTTTAGTTTCTCTTCAAAAGAATATTGCGCCGCAAAACATTTAGCCTTTTTCATGAAGATGAATCACAAGAAATACCTCATCATTAATTTTCTGGGCCCAGACTTGACATTATTTATGACAAACTAGAGGACTGTGTAATCACAGTCTTGGTTACTTTCATAAAATGATGTCACAGTTCTGATATATTACCTGCTAAATACTGCTTTAAGTTATTTCAGTGTCACATCTGACGTTTCCTTGTGCCTACAGCAGTGGTTGTACTTGTTACAAGTCATGGCTGTTGTTACACAGACGGCAACATCTGCTGCGTTGTTTGACTTGCATCTCTTCGCTGGCACTTGGCTAAGGATTCTGTTGTGTGGATGCAGAATGTGTCGTGTTGCAGCTGTTAATACTGTGGCGTGCAGTATATATGTTTGTTTGTGTAAGCTGACATTAAGCACATGCATAGACTAGTTGTCAATGTAGAATGGCATGTTTGTTTGAACTGCTTTGCATTACTGCTATTCATCATGCTTGTTCTGCTCCATGGCATTGCTGCAGTGTTTGATTAATGCCATCTTTGTTTGCTCTGTATATCTTTTATTTATTTTCCTTTTTGTCTTTCATAACCAGGAGCAAATCCCTCAGTGACATCCCGATGGTTTACCCTGTGCGTAAGCTTCCTGGTGAGCACACCATCTATGATGAAGACCTGGACACGAACATGGCCAATGAGTGGAATCAAGAAGACAAACGGAGGTGTAGTGTTGCTGCCAAGGACAGTGAAGCACAGTGGCAAGATGTAAGACAAGAAGGATATTCACAAAACAATCTCACGGACACATCCATTTTAGAAGCTGTTTGGGAGCATTTGAACTTTCAATCTCAACTTTTTAAATTGAAATAAAAAAAGAAAAGTCCTTTTTAAGTTATCTTAAAGTTTGAACATTTCAATACATCTATTGCAAATACAAATGCTGAGGATTACAATACTAGATCTGAATATGGTAATGCCCAACAAATTAATCTTTTTAAATTTGAGATTGTCATCCACCGTTCCAAGGTCAAAAATAAACATCAGATCTTAGGGTAATCGTGTTTTGCCTTTTGTTTCAGGACTTTTCAAAGTGGAAGAATCGTCGCACGAGCACAACGTCTGAACGCAGGAAGTCTCTAGACAGAGAGCATGTCATTACTCAAATGGCCAATGGGGCTGGGATTACATTTGAGAAGAACAAAGCACAAGGTGGACTGCTAAAAGGTGGGTCCTGCTAAAAAATGTAATGGTAAATATTAAGTTTACACTAAACCCTGTGGTTACCAAGGGTGTATTTAAAGTGTGTATTAAAGTGGCTGACCTCCCTTGATCAACTTTCTGTATGCCACACAGTGAACTCATGTAATATGACACCCCCCCCCCTCTTTCTTTATTACATGGGCTCCTCTTTCCTTACATTTCAATTCCGCAGCGACCAGCAGTCCCCTCACAGGCATTTCCCTGCTCCTCGTCCTTACAGCACCTCTCTCCATTCAAAATCCTTGAGCTCTGATCTCCGGCCACATACTCGGGCTCTGCTGGCCCGCAGTTACGCCACAGAGCCACCTTTCAGCCCCCAGGCTCCACTTAGCTCCCAGAACTCACCCCACACCCAGGTACGTTTACAGATGTGTCATGCTTTGCCTCCCTCATATTAAATGTTTTCTTGAATGTGACATGACAAATATATATATTTTTATTCCCAGGGATCTTCTGTTGGAGCCATGCCTGCCTCTGATGCAAACACCCTGAGAGAGGAGACTCACTTTGCCTCCTTGGCTTCACACGGAGCAGAAGTCACCACTCCTTCTCTGGACGGCCCTTTCAGCTTCCAGGCCCAAGTCAAAGTACAGGAAAGCCCAGCTCCTGTCCAGCCCACTTCTGAAGAGGCCCAATCAGTAAATGTTTTAAAAAAACAAATCTCCACTCTGGTCACAACCATACAGCCAAAGGTGACCACGAAGTCAACGAAAACCAGGGAACCTACAGAATCCATGTCGAGTCACAAGGAGCCATTATGTGGTAATCCAAAAGTCCCTGCTTTTTGCACTGATCAGATGGGAGTTGATGGTCTGGAGGACTTGTCCACAAAAAACCAAAAGTCCCAGGAAGAGAGCCAGAAGATGTCCTGGGAACCAGCTGTGGAACATGGCAGTGGTCAGCAGGCTGCGGCTGGCTACAGCTTTATGTCCAAAACTGGGTCCTGGTCCGGCTCTGCCAGCCTCCCTCGTGGTTACCGGAGGTCCGAGGGCTCGTCTCGTCTCTCCTCTGCAATCACAGCCAGGCCCTTTGGGACCAAGTCCAGGGTGTCCTCTCTGCCGAGACTGTTCAACGTGAGTTAATTTCTATCAATGGTATTGAGCGGTTGTTGTTTTTTCCTACAGTGTTTAGTCCAAATGTTTGTAAAAACATTCGGTGGAAAAACAAATCTTTCATTACAAAAATACATAATTGGAATGTGTGCATCTGTTGGAAAATGTTAGGCAGCTTATAAATGCAAATTTGCACACTAACAAGTATTTACGTCAGTGTTAGAGTAAACTACAGCTCCCTTTGTCTTGATAACAAAAACGCTTAACGTGGTGCAGCGGTGGTTTTGTGTTTGTTGACAACAATATAACTTTATGTTGGAGTTCTCATAGTGGATAATACATTGTTTTTTTAAATATCACCACTACATTACTGCTTTTTTCCTGAAAAATAAATGGATTAGAGGTAATTTATTGGCATAAAGGTATATGGTGTACATAAAACATTAACCAGCTTTAACCATTGATTTTTACTTACCACTCTTTCCCACTTTTGCCTTCAGATAAACCTGTAATACTGTCTAGGGACAGATGTAAACGGTACATGGGTGTATCTCTGCATTCTCTGTGTGAAATTTTTCATTTTTGTTTAACGCTTTTTAAGGATAACGACCTGCCACCTGCTCATTACATTTGAAAGTTTAGACAGTTATATTTCTGTCTTAATGGAAGGCTGCTGCTCAGGAGGCTGCAAAGGAACATGTTTAAGGCAATGTTCCTTTGCAGCTCACGCTAGTTAATGTCCTCTGTACTTGTGTGGGTGTGTGAGGGCATGTATGTGTGTACTATAAGTGAGTGAGCTTGTGTTACCTTTTGTTTTCTTTGGATCGCCCTGCTCATTAATAATAGAAATACTGCTGCACCATTGTGAACAGCGTCAACTCGCTACAGGATTATATATTATATAGAAGTCTTTTTTGTTGGCATTCAGTACAGACAGTCTTAAATTAGCACAGTTGCATACCAATGCTGCAATTAAATGTGTTTGTAATGCTTTCCGAATCACATTCTGTCTTTGTTAAATCTCCAGGTAGACAACAACCAAGGTCTGCTGATGGATAGTGAGAAAGAGGAATCTCTTTCTCCCACCAACAAATCTTCTCTTAAAAGACAGACTGCGACCACCCATTTGAAGGTTCAGGATGTTACAGTCAGACAAAAGAAAGCTAACCAGGCGCAGCAGAGTGGTCCAGAGCAGGTGGAGGAGGAGCTGAAAGGTGCCACTCTCTCCAGTCAGAGCTCCTTCCAGACCATTGGATACCACCATCAACAGAACACACAAACCCAGCTAGTACCGCAGCCTCATTCAAGCCTGCAGACCCAAAACAACACAGGCTCCACTCTCCAATCTAGTGCAAGCATTGACCTCCCAAAGGTGTGTTGACTTTATGTATATTGATGCAACTCGGTTGAACTTGAAATGTTTTGTTACAGGATTTATTTATTTAAAATAGAGATCATCAATTCAATTTTATTCAGGGATGGTGCCTGTCTATGAATAGATAAAGGAAATGAACTCAGGTGAATGGTTAGAAAATATATTTTTCAGGCACTTGTATTAGTTGTGATTTAATAATTGACACATTTTAATATTGTATTATAAAATTAAAGACTTTAAGCCAGTAAATTAATGTCATTGTTACTATTTCACCATATCGTACATAATAAACTGGTGTGGATCTCTTGATATATCTGTGTAGCAGGATTCTGAAGGATCTAGTTTCCGCCAGGAAGCAGAGGACATTGGATCACAGGGTGTCACCTTTACGTGTGTCTGTGTTTCAGGTGGATCACAGTGACATGAGAGTCAGCCTGACTCTCAAACCCAACAGTAGACCAGACTTTGGTTTCCAGACGCATTGGGACTCTAGAGGGGCGAGAGTCAAATGCATTCAGCCTGGTAAGACTTGTGCTATATTTATGTATTAATTGCTGAAATATTGTCTCACTATGGTTAGGTTGATTGTGTTGACAGTCTTTGCTTTGAATGGTAGGCTATTGAGAAACAAGACATTTTAGTGATGGGCTGGCAGTGCTACATTGTGCTCTAAATATTTATCTTTTTTGTTCTAACATCATGCACTTACAAAATAGGACAATAATTTAAGACACTGACAGGTCTCAGCGCACACAGAGGAATTAAAAACTTTTGTAGAGATTAAACAAAGCAAGTTATCATGTGCCTGGGAAAAGAGAAGTCTCTTTTTATTATTGAAACATGAACAGGTAAATTGGGTGTTAATGTTTATTTTGTGTTCATCTACTTAACATAGATAAAACCAGGGACAACTACAAAGTGTGATTTATGTTTTTAAGACCAAAACATAAATATGTAATAGGAAGATAGTATCGTGTCAACTTGCTCTATGTAGTTTTGGCTTTCTGGCCTACTTTTCAATTTGAAATGGCAACCTTGTCCTCAATACCGGAGCTCAGTCTGTGCGGAACAAATCATTTCTGAAGCTGGTACCTTTTTTTTTTTTTTTAAATGTTTTTCCATCCTCATCTTTCTTCATTTCCCTGACGCCTGTCCCTCCCTCCTCAGGCAGTCCGGCGGAGCAGTGCCAGCTGTGTGTGGACGATGAAATTGTGGCTGTTAATGGAGTTGCGGTGGCACACTTGAACTACAACCAGTGGAAGGATAAAATGACATCTTCCCTGCAAAACGGCCGTCTGACCATGGACATAAGGCGCTACGGCAACAAGGGTAAGATGACAACCCAAAAAAAGATGGTTGTACCTTAACCACCTTTTTAATTATTTGTGATAATGTAACCTCTACTGTAACTCCCAAACAGTGGGCACAAACGCAGTGTGGTGTTAGGTTTGATGGCTGGCTGTTTTCATTAGATTGGAGCACCAGTGAGGAGAGTCATCACAAGCAGCCAGGCCGCAGCAGGATGACCCTCAATCTGACTTCTGCAGGGTCCTCTCTGATAGGTTGCCTTGATCGCCATGCCATCAGTGGTACCTCTTCAGAAACCCCAGTCAGGAAATTCAATGAGCAGACAGACGATGTGAGCAATGCTTAAGCCATTAAATCACTTCAAATAAAAAATGGATGCACAAAGCTTTTGATAGTGTCACCTAATAAGAGGTGTTCATCGGGTCAATGTTGGTGTTCTTTCACCATGCCAGGTTTTACAAAGTAAAGTCATTCACGGAGAGCCTGCTGACAGCCACAAGACAGCAGGAAGTAAAGGTAAAACATTACAAAAGTGTACTTTTTTATTAAACGAAAACTCCTTAAATACTGTATTTTCTGAATTGCTCACTATATCTGTCCTTCCCCTTCATGTAGATTATAATATTATTAGTAGGAAAAATCAGAAAAGGAGGGAAGAGTTTTTCAAACAGAAAGGGTAAAATTCTTATTTGTCTTGTTGTGTCGCAGCTTTGGCAGCTGGTGCTTGGCTTGGTTAATTATTGGGTATGTAATGAATGCAAATTATGAAATCAGTTGAATAAGTAAAAAACAAAACTATCAGTAATTACTTTAGGTACTTTAACAGTATTCTTACTATTGTAATTGTAGTATTATTAATTAAAGTAAGGTGTTATTTCTCCATCAAAAATCTATTGATAGTTATATGACCTGGGGGATGAAATTATGCTTTTATTGGCTTTACATGGTAAATTCAGAGTTGGACAGCACTGACTATATACCACTCCTCATGTGATATAGCAACAGATGCTGCTTTTACTGCTCATTGTATGTACATTAATAATGCTTTCCTTTTGTAATTGTTAATGACTCTGATGTGTTTCCTACTACAATGGCTTCTCTCTTCAGGCTCTGCAGGATTCAGCTCATGGGTTTACTTGTGTGGTAAATGTTTGCATTGTGTGCAGTGTTTGTCTTAACTCTACTCTAAGCATCATGCTGTGGAGCATCAGCAAGAGCTGAACAAAGCACATGTGTGTTGTCCTGTGAATACATTTTTTTTGATTTACTGTAGCATGCCTTGCTCCTTGCTGAATTGTTTCTGTACTGCCTTTGTTTTTTTGCATTTTCTTTAGGCTGGGGATATGTTAGCAGACTTGCTAATCCTTGGTCAGGAATAGTTGCAATTTTTAGGTCCACAGAATTAATCTAAACTACTACTACTTGTGAACCATATGTCATTTCATAGTTATGACCAATGATTGAGTGACACAAACTTTTAATCTTATTACATTTTGTCCAACATGTTTGGTATTATTTGTTCTACAGTGAATATTGTTTTTTAGCCACTCAGGAATCAAGCAGGGCAGTACATGTGGCTGGCTAACTTCCAGAAACTGCAAGGTCCATGTTAACACTGTTTCTAGCTAAAGATGTACCCAAAGTGTTTGTGCCACGTACTAATATGCTATAAAACATGTGTTGAGGTCAGCGGATGAACTAAAGTGTGTGTGTGTGTAGCATTGTGTCTGCAATGTACTGTATCTAGTGCAAAGATGCTAAAAAAGGCAAAACACGATGCATATAAACCGTAGTGCTTGCATGGATTTCAAGTCTTCTAATGTTTCCCCTGCCATTGTGTGATGTGTGTATCCTAAACGACATTACACATGACTTGATCTTTCTGCTGACCTGTTTTTATCTCTCGCAGGAGGGTCAGAATCGGCAATATCTGATGTAAGTTACCACAGCACTTGATCAAAGGATGCTTGTATGCGTGTTCAAACAGAAGTTATGCATATGCGTTGAAAGAGTTTGTGCGCTATGATCATGTTTGAGCCTGCAGTCTGTTTGTGCATCACCAGCTCCAGGTGCCATCCCTCAGCCCCTCCTCATCCAGCTGGTCGTGGGACCGTGAGGGGGATCGGAGGCGTCAGGAGAAGTGGCAGGAAGAACAGGAGCTCCTCCTACAGGTGAACACTATCCTCCCAACAAAAAAATCAGCACGACACACTGCTTGTTAGTCTTTATGTAAAGTCTGGGTGCTTGTTTTTTTAGGAGCAATACAGGCGGGATCAGGAGAGGCTTGAGTCAGAGTGGCGGAGGGCACAGCAAGATGCAAAGGGGGAGGTTCGCTGGAAGCCAGGGGTAAGGTTGATTGGTCCTCTAAGCTTTTAACAGCACAACATACTGTTATAGTGATCGAAAAACATATTATATCAAACGTTCATCTAAAGGAAACAAAATACAAATGTTACCCCTGAATTTGCATAAAGGCTGTTTCCCTTGACAGTAATATCTACAAAACCTATTCTTTACTTGTAGAATGTTTTTTAATCAAGATCCTAACACTGTGATCATGTACGACTCGTATAAGTATTTTCTATCTGTAGCTGTGACACATCGGTAGTTACCGTGCTAAATCTCACCTTTACTGCTAATAAGATGCACAGTTTCTTGCTTTCGCTGTATTTCAAATTGTTGTCGGAAACACTCTGATTCAGTTGAGAGTCCCTGTAAATTCGCAGTGGTTTTTCTATCGAATGGAAATAATTTTCTTGTCTCTTTATTCATGCATTAACAGCAAAAAACATTTGAGATGACCAATGGTGGTGAGAGCACTGCCAGCCCCCAACTCCATGTGAATGGATTTACAAAGAAAAACATACAAGCAGAGAAGAGCTCTGACCGAGATGAGCTGAAAGATGAAGGGACCACACCTCAAAGTAATGCACAAGGAGAGCAGCGTGACAAGATATCTGGACCAGCCTGGTAAATCAGCTTTTTCTCCCCTCTTCAACAACGTTGTTAGCTCTTATCCATCCTTGCTGGGTGTAACAGTATACATGTGAATACATGTGGAATCACAATGCTTACTATTGCATGAAATGTTTGAGGGATTTAATTAATGAATACTTGCATAAATAACATGCGCTTTTTTTCTGTCTTGTCATGATCTTTTCTACTTTGCTGACCTGTTGTGCTTCCTCCTGCTTCTGCTGGGTCTTTCCATGCTTCACCTCAGGCCTGAGGACTCATGTGGCTTTCTTAAGCTGTCCCTTGCACACAGGTCAGAACAAGACTGGCTCAAAATGACTTTGCACTTGTTGCCTTATAGTTCTCAATGTAAAGCTTTGGCATACAATATCCTATTGTATTATCAGTGGCGTTTTTATATGTACAAAAGTGGTGGGGCACAAAAAACGTGTCTATATATAAGCTTCTGCAGTGAGGTTCATGGCTGGTGAGGCACTGGCACTGACTCTTCAGGTTTATATTTTGACCCTAAATCAAAATATAATATTATTTTCAAAAGCTTTTTTTTGTCTGATGCTTCAATTAATTTTAAACAGACAGTTCAACAAAAGGATACCCAAAAAATGTAATTGTATCATTTAAATATTGAATTGTTCTCTCTTAGTAAGATCCCATTTTCAATAAAATTGCAGTCTTACCTTGACTTGAAGATTAAGTCCATTTGCCTATCCCTCTGGACAAAAATCTCTATTACTTTTTTGTAAAAGTCCTCCTTATCTTCTTGTAGTTTCAAAAGTCTATCATAAATCTAATCTAATCAATAGATTTATGATTCGAAAATTATAAAAGTAGGGTAGACATGTGGATATTATCCGGCTGAACAAAACGTGCATTTATCTAACAGCTACGTTTCCCACAGATCTTATTTGGAGCTATTTTCTAAAATCCTATGGAGAAATCTCATTGCTTTTTTGTCGAGGGAAGCCATGCGCAGCTTACTTCCGGGTTTTAGGACGCCTCACTGCAGCTCTCTCGTCTCCTCCACACTTTTCGCGGCACACGTACTTACAGCCAATCAGCTCTGAATGATGTGAGATGACGTATGGTGGGGATGGCAGCACTATGCCCCTATGGTCATTATTTTTTTGCCACACACATTAAATAGGAAAATATTCTGAGCAGGTGTAGTTTTTACAGTCACCATTGACTTAGACAGTAAGAGGGAGGGGCAGGATCGGGTTTTGTCCCACATGGCTCTAAACAGCTCATAGGCACACACTGTAGACACTAATTAGAAGAACACAGACTAAACAGCAATGTACAGACAAATCAGATGAGTTAAACATGATCTTAAATATATTTTATATATATTTTTATTTATTTTTTGCATTTTGTTGTAATCATTATTTGTAATACTTTCTGCTGACACTAGGTGGGGCTGTGCCCCTAATGACCAGTCGCCACTGTGTATTATGTCTGCAAGCATAGCATGATTGTTTTTGTTCTAAAATAATTCATAAAACCCAAGATGATGATGATGATGACAAATTGGTGCAAGCCCTTTTTTCCAAAGTAAAACAAATATTTACAGGGTAGTACTATCTGTATGATGCGTTTTTTCATTCCCATAGGGCAAAATCCTTCTCTACCCCGGCATTAGCTAGCACCCACAAACAGACAAGAGGTCAGTATACCTTCTGTTGTAATATTCCCCTCGGTTCATGTGTTGTACTGGGCTAAACCCTCAAACTTTGATAGGTCCAGGTGATGAGAGGAAAAGAACAGGACAGTCTGCGTCTAACGCTGAGAAAGAAAGGCAGCTGATTTTGCAGGAGATGAAGAAAAGGACTCTTCTTCTGACTGACAACAGTTGGATTCGGCAGCGCACCAGCAGCTTTTACAAAGAGCCTATCTATGTTGGGGTTCCCATGAAGAGGTGAGTGTAGTTGGACCTAGTGGGACGCTACTGTCCCTTTTTTGTTTCACAAAACTTGGTAATGGCCTTTCCCCCCCTGTTATTTCATGTTCCCTCTTATTTCTGACATGTGACATCTTCTCTGCAGGTATGAGTCTCTGGACGACCTGGATACTCTCCGTCAGTCCCACCCCTCGGTCGCTACCTTTAGTTACCCTCGTCCACAGTCAGCGGCTGCAGGCTACTGTGTCCCCAGCAGGAACTCCTCCTCTCGCTACAGCACTGGATCAATACTATCCCAGAAAAGTACATTTGATTCCTCCCATCACCCCAGGTATTTAGTTCATAGACGTAAAGAGTATGTCTCTTCTGTTGCATTGTGTTATTATTCTTTTTTGCCTCACACTGTAACATGTGCTGCCCCAGGATGGTCAGTGGCAGGAGGACTTGCTGTGTGTGTGAGCGTGTCCTGGGTAGTGGGGCAGCCATTGTCATAGAGACCCTTAGTCTCTGCTTCCACCACGCCTGTTTCAAGGTGAGGGGTCATGACCGGGTCATGGTGCGGTTACAGTAGCTCCAGTCCCAATTCACAATATTATACTGCCAGACTTAAAGCCTTATGATCTCCTTCCAACTGTTTGGTATTTGAATGCACAAAGTGAAAATGTGCATGAGTGAAAAAGCAAGAAATCTTAAAAACTTCAAATATCACAGAATATTAAAAATGTATTAAGTGAAAGTGGCAGCTGTTGAAAACTAAATATGAACATGATGAAAATAAACAAGTCAATCAAGATGTATTTATAAAGCTTGTTTTAAAATGGCACGTCCATAGCAAAATGCTTTACAGAGAAAAGTCAAATACAGTTATGATGATTTAGAAATAAAATAAATAGAAAAATGACATATGGACATTCAGGATAATAAATTATATCTATTAGCAATTATTTCATCCCATTTCCCACATGGCGATCTTAGTTACTCTAATTCATCTTTCAATTAATTAATAGAAGTCACGAGCAACCTAAAATGTATTCTTCAAATGTATGCTACATTTGGATGGAAACTATACTAAGACCTACATAATTCAAAAATTATTCTACATTGTTTTACTCACGTCAGATATGTGACATGACACCCTTTTTCTGTGCTTATTGTAGTAAAATGTAATTGGACTGAAGACTAATGTGACCGCACCTTTGGCGAGGTCAACAGGAGTATCTCAATCATAACTGTAGTTACAACAGAATAACCCTTAGGCGCCTGCTAGCAGAAGCATTTCAACGCTTCTATCTTTGCTGCCTAGTTTATTTTTTTCTTCTTCGTCTTCATTAGGTATCTGGCCTCGGGTCATGTCTGGTGTTGTAGTCATGTGTGCTATTTCTCTCTCTGTCTCTAGTTGTCTTCATGTGATTGGTTTATTTGAAGAGTTCAGCCCGTTGTCCCGCTTTGCTTTTAGATGCTTATTGTGAAATCTCACCTGCAGAGAACTCGCATATGTAGACAGCCTATTTATCCATTAGCATGTAGACGTTAAAGTTTATTCCTTTTTTTTAAAACTCTGCTCCATATAAGTTACAGACACACACAACACTTGTATAGAATATGTGTGTATATATAAAGTGGGGCAAACAAGTATTTAGTCCAATTGTGCAAGTTCTCCCACTTAAAAAGATGAGAGAGGCCTGTAATTTTCATCCTAGGTAAACCTCAAATATGAGAAACAAAATGAGAAAAAAAAATCCAGAAAATCACATTGTCTGATTTTAAAGAATGTATTTTCAAATTAAGGTGGAAAATAAGTATTTGGTCAATAACAAAAGTTCATCTTAATACTTTGTTATATACCCTTTGTTGGCAATGACAGAGGTCAAACGTTTCTGTAAGTCTTCACAAGGTTTTCACACACTGTTGCTGGTATTTTGGCCCATTCCTCCATGCAGATCTCCTCTAGAGCAGTGATGTTTTGGGGCTGTCGCTGGGCAACACAGACTTTCAACTCCCTCCAAAGATTTTCTATGGGGTTGAGATCTGGAGACTGGCTAGGCCACTCCAGGACCTTGAAATGCTTCTTACAAAGCCACTCCTTCGTTGCCCGGGCGGTGTGTTTGGGATCATTGTCATGCTGAAAGACCCAGCCACGTTTCATCTTCAATGCCCTTGCTGATGGAAGGAGGTTGTCACTCAAAATCTCACGATACATGGCCCCATGCATTCTTTCCTTTACACGGATCAGTCGTCCTGGTCCCTTTGCATAAAAACAGCCCCAAAGCATGATGTTTCCACCCCCATGTTTCACAGTAGGTATGGTGTTTGGATGCTACTCAGCATTCTTTCTCCTCCAAACACGTCTAGTTGAGTTTTTACCAAAAAGTTCTATTTTGGTTTCATCTGACCCAATCCTCTTCTGGATCATCTAAATGCTCTCTAGCAAACTTCAGACGGGCCTGGATATGTACTGGCTTACTGTCGTACTGGTGAGATCTTGCTCGAGGGAGATTATCAGTGGTCTTGTATGTCTTCCATTTTCTAATAATTGCTCCCACAGTTGATTTCTTCACACCAAGCTGCTTACCTATTGCAGATTCAGTCTTCCCAGCCTGGTGCAGGTCTACAATTTTGTTTCTGGTGTCCTTTGACAGCTCTTTGGTCTTGGCCATAGTGGAGTTTGGAGTGTGACTGTTTGAGGCTGTGGACAGGTGTCTTTTATACTGATAACGAGTTCAAACAGGTGCCATTAATACAGTTAACAAGTGGAGGACAGAGGAGGCTCTTAAAGAAGAAGTTACAGGTCTGTGAGAGCCAGAAATCTTGTTTGTTTGTAGGTGACCAAATACTTATTTTACCGAGGAATTTACCAATGAATTCATTAAAAATCCTATTATGTGATTTCCTGGATTCTTTCCCCCAATTCTGTCTCTCATAGTTGAAGTGTACCTAGGATGAGAATTACAGGCCTCATCTTTTTAAGTGGGAGAACTTGCACAATTGGTCGCCGACTAAATACTTTTTTGCCCCACTGTATGTATATATACTGTATGTTTGTTTGTGTGTTTAATGCAGAACAAAAGTTTCCATGCTTTGGTGGCAGAGAATCTGGTGAAATTATTTGGTCACAGCTCCAACTGAAAGGTAGTCCTTTTTTAGGTTTGTCTTCTCACCACTTTGTCCTTTTCCCAGTGTGTGGGCTGCCACCGACATCTCGGAGGAAGTGAGACTGGAGTCCAGGTTCGAATCCGAAACAGGAAGCCCCACTGTGAGCCGTGCTATTTCCAACTCAAGTGTGAGTATTTGGCTTTTCTTAAACAATAAGTCTGATTCTCTCTGAAACTTATCGCACCTCACAGTTTCTGTACCTCATGTCACTAGCTTTCCCACAACAGCTTTGTTCTTTCTTCCTCCATAAAATAGTTTTTGTATTGCCAATTTCATAGCAGTAATCACCCACTTCAACCAAATGTTCTTTGACTGTGCTTAATAACTCTCCAGGAAACATACATTTAATTAACTGTTATTAATAATGCATATTAACATTTTAGCTGCTGGTCCACCCTCCATATGACCAAGACGGCATACTCCAGATCACAGATTAAGCGTCACAATCACTGGGAACTTCTGTTTCATAAAACTGTAAAACACAGAGGAATCATCGTCTACACAGCTGAGTCATGATGCTTCTCCCACATTAATGACCGGTAAAACTGTAACTCTATCCTGTGATACAAAATCATGACAGCCTGTGGATCCACATGTAAAGTAGACTCTCATGGCTGTTTTTTAATCACATGTGGTTTAATAATGTACTTGGTGCACATGACCTGTTAATTTGCTAAATTGTTTCCAAGATGATGTAGATTTAATATATGAAATAAAGTAATAATGGGAATTATAAGTTTGATTTAGGCTTTTATTTGATCGTTGGTGTTGCTTTTCGTCATCCTTGTGTGATATATTTGTGCATTAAAGATAACAGATCTTGGTAATATAACCTTTGTACTGAGGCACATTTTAACTTGTAGCTTACTGAAGCCCTTTCTGTTCTATTGTAAACTCACCAAGTGCACTTTGGGATAAATAAGTTGTTTCTACAATATGTATTTCTCAAGTAAAAATAGGAATGTAACTGATATGTCTTTGTAAATAAAGTACACTAAATATTACAGCATTTGTTATTCCTTTCTCTACCAGAGGGTGGCATCATTGGTCTCCATAGTAAAAAATAATGTGAATCTCATAATGTGCTTACACATGAACTTTATATATGCCCAAATTATGTAAACTGTAACACATGGTTTGAATGTTTAAGATCTGTAATCTACAATATGTTGTTTAATGATGGCAACATTTAAGACATTGAAAGTTTTGAAACTATACAGTTAACTACAAAAACTTGCCACTATCACTAATATATTTTCTAGTTAAACGATGGCATCTAGTAATGGGAATCCAATAATTAACAGCAGCTACAGTACAAGGATGCAGCACATTTTTATATGAGGTGAATAAACAATTATTTAAATATCTAAAAGTATCCTGCAGCATTGCCTCTCATCTCTAGTCGTTAAATGTCAACAATGTTCTGCTTGCTCTGATTTTGTGTATGACCTTTTGCTCATCTTCTAATCTGTTTAATGCAACATTTCAATTCTTTGATTCACTAGCATTTCATTTGTGATTAATGTATAAACACAATTTAGAAATACAATTTGACTATATATGTGCCCGTTTGCTTTTATGCAGTAAGGTTTGTGGGTTAGGAGCTGCAAAATAACCTATTTTAGTCAGTTTATCATGTTTATCAGGTAGGTTTAAAAGAAACCTTGGTATTTATTCTGTTATCTGTGCCACCCACCAAATCCTCAATAAATGTTTTGCTTCAAATACATGAATATTTGTTGTGATTACATACTGTATATACTTTAAAGAAGATGTATCTTTCTTTCTATATCCGACTAGTGATGTTAGATGTTAGTGGTGTTTGGTTAAACAGAGATAAGGACATATCTGTTTCTTGTATGTTACTGTATTTCTTGACAGTCCAACTGCTTTACATTTTTGGCAATACGTACTAATGGAAACCAGAATCTATATTTATAAACAGCTGAGACAGTGCAATTCTTAAAGTATAAAGGACCTCTTTTGCCTTTCAGAATATCTGTAAAACATTTTGAAACGCTTTCACACTGCAGCGAGTAGCATTTGTCCATTAACTTAAACCTTTTAAAACTTGTTTGTGCTTTTTTTATGCCATTGTGTTGCAAGCAGGATGTTTTGTGTAATTTGGGTGAACTGACCTTTTTACAGGAAATTGGTTAAGCAAGAGAACGTTGTCTGTCCTCAGGCCTTTTAATGGAGAAGTGAACTAAAGCATTTAGTTTGGGATGAGTCTGTGGTTGTGTTTTCACTGTGGTAAACAAAGTCATAGTGAGATGTGGATATTTGAGAAGTTTGTTATGAGTTTGAGATCACCAAGGCACATTGCAGTAATGTGACATATATGTGAGTGATCAGTACTGGAGCAGCATAAAGCAGTATTTCTTCCTCAAGAGGAAGTTGTTTGGCAATGGAAATCACACATTTGCAACAGCTCGCACATACCTCACTGACACTCTCCTGTCACAGTTGTCTTTATTTCAGCTTTAAATTCAGATATGAGATGTGTGTGGGTGATGAAAGGCAGCAGCCAGAAAATATTATATTTGTATCTATATTGTCTTGGCAGAAACTACATGGTTCTTGGAGTTCTCTTTGCACCAGAGACATTCAAACTGAGACGTTAAACATCGGTCATCAAGCATGTTTGGCCTGATGGAGGGAAAATGTTTTTCATGGTTAACTCTGACCATGGTTTTTTTGAAGGGGAGAGATCAGTTCCCTAAAGACACACACAGAGACCTCTTTTAGCGCTGACATGCTCCATCTGTTTTAGATGACTCTTGTGACTCCAGCCTGACCCATTTAAATATCACAGGACAGTGAAAAAAAGTAGAGTGTAACAGAACGGGCAGGAGACATTAGTTCCTTCAAATTTAGCTTGAGGACTAAAAGATTTACGGGATTGATTTAAAGCTTCCTTTTTGCAAAAATCAAATCCAGTAAGATTTGAAATGTTTAACTGACAAGTGTAAATCTGAATAGGTTACCATGATGAGACACATGATGGAAGAGATCTGTCTTGATCATCACTGGAACATTTCTTAAGAACTACTGTTGCTGTTTTTCTGGTTTATGATGCACAGTAGCCAAGTGGAAAAGCATGACCCTAATCTTTGGCAAAGAATCTTCCCTATGCTGCCTGTGTGGCTGTTTTTCATGTAAAACTCTCCCCGGAAAGGAACAGTGGGAAGTTTTCTGTTCAGTTGGCCACATGCTTTCTCATGAGCAAAACGTTGCCCGTCTACTGACTCTCTCCTAGTCAATTCTCTGTTGAAGACATATTTTAATAATGTTTATCTTTGCTAACACATGCTTCTTTTCTTAGTTTTTATCCAATACATAAAACAACCTATTCTATGAGGTTTGTCGAGTGAATAAGATTATTTTTGAGCAACTGAAATGGACAAATGTTGATGACGTGCCATGGCCAACACAGCTTGCCCACAATAAGTGTCTTGTGTGGGAGCCCACACTGCCCACAGTAAACCCACACCTACACACAATAAGCTCTCAGATCCACTACGGACAAAAACTGATCCTTTTGAGATTTAATTATGATTGAGACCTATTTCTCTTAACAACACAGGAAACAGTTGAGTGTGTAACACAACTTGACGTTAAAACGCAATCAAACAACTGACACAGGAAACAGTTAAGAGGAAGGGTGCGTGTCTGGGCCCTGTGGATATCTGGACAGTGTCCTCTGCTCTAACATTGTCCAAAGCCCTACCAGACAGGCAGAGTGACATAAAGATGTCCAGCTCAACAGACATACATGCAGGACACCTTGAGTCTGTTTTTACAGTCCTCACTTAAACTACTATTATGACTTAATTTAATAATAATGTGTCATGCATAATAAAGGCAAAACAAAGGTTGACGCTTATTTGAAGAATAACTTTAGCTTTCTTTACCTTGATTAAATATCAGTTAATCACTCTTACAAAGCTAAATACAGGTGCTGGCAATTAACATATTCTAAAATGGAAAACGACTGAATATCTAGCCAATTATGATGCAGCCTTGCTAGCACTTCTGTGAGGCTCTTTGACCTGAATGCTAACTCTGCATGCTAACATGCTCACAATGACCTTAACCTGCTGATGTTTAGCAGGTCTAATGATTACGGTGTTCACTCTCCTGGTGTTAGCATGCAAACACTGATTCATTTGCACTGAACAAAAAGGCTAATGGTGATCTCATCCGTTTGGTTCGTAATCAAATGTCAAATATTGGACACATTTTGACCTGATGATGGCCCTATGTCAAGAGATCATCAAAGTTATGAAAATGTTTTTAGGTGGGGACATTAATTGTGTTACCAAAGGTTGAGGAAATCCATTGAATAGTTGTTGAGATGTTAAAGTGGACCAAAATGAAGGACAGACTCACAGACTTTTCCATTCTCTGTTTTTAAAAAGCCAATTTATTTGGATTCAAATTGCAGGTATTGCTTTGTTGAACCAGTGCACAAAACCAACAATAATGTAGTAACTTTCTATTCATGAGATGGCCTTAAGGCTCAAATTAACACACTTCCCTCCACATCTTGCCCTTTCAGACAGCCCTGGAGGGAGGGGGATGTTGGGCTGCACTTCTTGTGAGAGGAAGCTGGCTGCAGCCACAGCAGGGGAGGAGGATGCTTCCTCTCTTGCTTTCTGTTCCCTGCAGCTGATTGATGCGGGCAGCCTTTTACCTTTTACTTTACCGGCACAGTGCAGGGCTCAGCTTTGTCACTGGGAGCTGTACCAATCTCCGGTCTGCTGCTGGGAGCTGAAAGCAGCTCAGCGGAGGCTGGCGACATTTACACCCTGCCTCTACCCAACAAAACTACAGAGAGCAGACAGGGAGACAGAGCTTTATGCTCAGAATACTGAGGTTGAATATTTGCAGGAGACGGATAACATGGACACTGGAGGATCACAAGTTTTAATCCGTCTGTCTGCAGCTAGACCTGGGTTTTATGGTTGCCCCTCCCCCGACAGTTAAAAAAGTAAAAAAAACCATAACAAATTGACATAGAGAATTCTACAAATATTTTAAGCACCAAAATGTGGCAAATTATTTACTGTAATTTCATGCATTCTTACTGTGAATGGATTCCAGTTTATATATTTAGGTTAAAAAAAACTGGTTTTTATTTTAACGTTGTCTTGCACAAAATGTTCTTTACTTGAAAAAAGTCATTTTAATTTTCAAAGGCTCATGACTGCAGCTTGATTCTTCCACTATAACATGTGTTGAGCCAGTTAGAATTAATAAAATAATATGTAAGCCCATATTTGGAGCAGAATTGCAGACCTTAATGCTCCTGCAAGTAATAAAACAAGGCTGTACTTTATAAAGTTTTTACTTCTGTTTTAAAAACAGGATATGAGCTGATCTAAGTTTTTTTTATAATTGGGAATTGCATTGCTGTGGCTTTAGCTGCAAGATAGCAGAAGATGTGCAGGTGTGTCTTATTTTATTACTCGGATTTTGCAAGTTGAAGCTGGGTTATGTCAGACTGCCCTTAACGGAGTCTGTTAGGGAGAGGCTAAATTAAACCTAGAGTTTATTATCGTTTCTATTTGCCTGCAGCTGACCTTTTCTCCCCTGATGGGAACATCTTCATGCGGTTCTCTCACCTGAACCTGCTCACACAAAGAAAATTATGAATCCTATAATAAACTGCACTGCAAGATTTCACTTCTTGTAACTGAAGAGGAAATTAGGTTATATCAAGACGCGTAATCTCTTATCATAACAAAACTGTCAGATAATAAAACTGAGTTATGTTACAGGATGAACATCGCATTGCTACGGGGAAGGAGTGTCAATATTCAAGAAACAGCCTGTAACATTATAGATTGTGGCTTGTTATCACACTCCAAACAAAGCAACATATCATATTTACTATAGTGAGTAACTAATGCTTGCCTTAAAAACCTGTGTTTTTAGTTGAACACAATTCAGAATCAATGTTAATGATTGAAGTAATGTATGGAGCGTTAATGGTTTAACT